ATTCGAAATTCCCCGTTTGGGCTCACCGCAAGAGAGGCATTGCAGAGGAACGAGAAGGATCAAGGCAGATTGGAGGTGTTGCGCGAGATGTGGCACCAATGGCGCTTTGGAGTGCTTGCGGACGACGAAGTGAACCAGTTCTTTGCGATGAGTGATGATTTGAGCTCGGATGGGGAAGTAGAATTTAGAATAGAGGAAGTGACAGAGAGAGAAGCAGTTGAGGAATTGGATCACCTCGGAGTATGGGGTGATCAGCAGTCAGTTGAGCCAGGGACGCTTGTAGTCTCTGGGGACTTGCCGAGAGATCAGCTGCGGAGTTTTGCAGCTGGACTTGCGTCTGACCATGGAATTGACTATGAAGAACAGAACCTTGCCAGAAGCAGTGGAGAACCAGAAAGCCGTGAAGAAATGAATGGAAGTGCTCATGGAGAAGAGCGGGAGGAAGAGAGCCCAATGCATGGAGAATCCGAGGAGTGAGAGCTAATCCTTTGGGATAGTTTTTTTTTGAAATTTCACCCAAACGGGTGAGGCTGAAAGGAGTGGTGATTCAAGCACAAAACGTGCTAGAATCAAGGCGGGGTGTAAGAACTTTCATCCCGATGCACTAAGGCCACTCAGGTGAATTTGGTTGTGACGTCATGAGGTCAAAGCATGGCCCACGCAAGGATGACAGCACAAATCACAGATGCTGCAGGCATTTGCCAGTTCAAGTCAAAAGAGCTGCCAGCGTTTCAGGTTCAGAGGGCTTGGTGGAAGCTGCCGCGGAGCGTTTTAGGGGTTTTAAGGGTTTGAAGGCTGGCAAACGGCAGGCTCGAATGCCCTAACAAGAGAGGGCTATGTGCAGGCAAAGGGCAGGCTGCAATGTTGGAACGCTGACGGCCAGGAGCTTGGTGGAAGCTGCCGTAAGGGATGGACGGCCAGAGGGCTTGGTGGAAGCTGCCGCGAGGGATGCGCAGGCAAAGGGCAGGCTGCAACCCTGGAGCAGCAAAGGCTGACGGCCAGAGGGCTTGGTGGACGCTGCCGCAGAGGGTTTTAGGGGTTTTAAGGGTTTGAAGGCTGGCAAACGGCAGGCTCGAATGCCCTAACAAGAGACGGTTATGTGTGCAGGCAAAGGGCAGGCTGCAATGCTGGAACGCTGACGGCCAGGAGCTTGGTGGAAGCTGCCGCGAGGGATGTGCAGGCAGAGGGCAGGCTGCAACCCTGGAGCAGCAAAGGCTGACGGCCAGAGGCCTTGGTGGAAGCTGCCGCGGAGGGTTTTAGGGGTTTTAAGGGTTTGAAGGCTGGCAAGCGGCACGCTCGAATGTCCTAACGAGAGAGGGCTATGTGCAGGCAAAGGAGGGTTTTAGGCATTTTAGGGGTTCAGAGGGCTTGGTGGAAGCTGCCGCGGAGCGTTTTAGGGGTTTTAAGGGCTTGAAGGCTGGCAAACGGCAGGCTCGAATGCCCTAACAAGAGAGGGCTATGCGCAGGCAAAGGGCAGGCTGCAATGCTGGAGCGCTGACGGCCAGGAGCTTGGTGGAAGCTGCCGCGAGGGATGTGCAGGCAAAGGGCAGGCTGCAACCCTGGAGCAGCAAAGGCTGACGGCCAGGAGCTTGGTGGAAGCAAAGGCTGACGGCCAGAGGCCTTGGTGGAAGCTGCCGCGGAGAAAAGTTCCACACCTGCGGTGGTCCCAGGCGCCGCCCCGGCCTTGGCGAAGGCCGGGGTCGGCGGATTCTACGAACTTCGGATGTAAAACTAGCCGCAACCTTGCGCGCGATACCCAGTTTCAGGATTGGGGGGGTTCGCTCCAATTGTTCAGTTACAACCCTGCTGCTGGGTTTCAAACCCACTTTCACACTTCAGTTACCCTCCGGTGTCATCAAACATGGCTACAGTATTTGGGAAATCCCCGATACGGTTTTTAATGGGAAAATCCACTACTAATTCACTATAATTGCTGGAGTTATGTTTGATTACCGGAGGGTACCCTTGGTTTGCCATCAATTTCTTTTGTTTCTGCACCAACATTGCGATCCTCGTGGCATGATTTCGTCGCATGATGATTGACAAGTGTCTCAGAGTGCCGAGTGGAACTAACCCACCTTGTGGACAAATAGCTAGGTAAGTCTGAGACGATGCCACATGGTGCCAATGTTCCGTGGTGCGTCAACCGACATACTCTCTGCAAATCAAACATGTCTTATTCAAAAATTCAATGATAAAGTGATAAAGTGTATGTCACTAGAGTATTTTCTGGGCACAACAGGTTGAGAGTATTGTCTGGCACAAGAGGTTTTTTGACCCAGGGGAAGTTCTGATATGTTTCTCAATTCATTGACAGCAACGGCTGTTTTTTTGTTCAAACAAGACAATATCGGAGCGCTGTCAGAGCCAGGACGGTGTCCAATGATGGCACAGATTATCATCATCCAGGAGTATTGTATAGAAGATCCTTGAACATCCGGCCCCAGTTCAAATGTCATTAGTCAATAGATGTTAATTGTCTTCATAGTCGGATAGCCCTATTCAAATTCTGTGCTTAGTATTGTTTTGTTTGCTGCAGAATATGATGTGTACCTTGTTCGTTGCATGTGCGCGATTCTTTTGTCAGCCCTATCTTGCCTCGATAATGGTTTATCTTGAGCTTGGCAGCACATTGCCTTGACATCTATGCGGCATTTGGTCCTTGATTCATATTGACTGGCGAATAGATATGGGTATGGGTCAATACCTATAGATACATTTTTAGTGGGATGAACATCCAGCTAAACCAGCTATTTTGGGGTTCACTAGGTACCAGGGTTTTGACCCATCCCCATATGAATAGATGCTCCCTTGGCTTGTTGACTCTCATTGCTTGTGATACCACTTGACATGACCTCATGTCGTCGCATGATGATTGACAAGTGTCTCAGAGTGCTGAGTGGAACTAACCCACCTTGTGGACAAATAACTAGGTAAGTCTGAGACGATGCTGCATTGCACCATGAGCTTGATTGGAATGTGGTTGTTCAATGATTGAAAATGAAACTTCTGCGATCCGCTGATGGTTTCCTGTGTTTTTGTGTCAACAGCACCTATACTGCCAACCTTGTACTAGGATGAAACCTCTGATTTTTTTAAATCAACTGGGTTAGCCAGAAAAAATGATGCACCACCGAAGCCCCGCCAATCAAACAACCCAGGGGTTTGTTAATCCAGGGTTGAGAGTCCAGGAGTTTTGGGAGGCAGCGTTTGAAAAATTGGCGTCCGGAAATACGGGGCGAACCCCATTTTAGATAGCTAAGTTTACGCCGTTCTATGGTTTATCGGGGATATGATTATAGTTATATAGTTAGTTATATACTGCAATGGGGGTGTCCATTTTTTTTTCTGGGAGCGTTTCCTCACCTTGTAAGGCAAATTTGATTTGTTCCTTTGATTACCCTGTCGGTGAAACGGCATTTTATGATTGGTACATCACTACTCATTGGTTATTTGAAGAATTATGTTCACAAGCCTATTTACCCCATCAACGAGCATCTTTTTGGGATGACTCTAACCTAGCAAATGAGTTTCAGGCATTGTTTTTCATTGTTGATTCCTTACAGTATCTAGGAAATCTAGCGCTGGTCATTGCCGTGGCAATTCCCAATCATTTTCCTGGGCAAATTATAACGACCTCACTGTTCTCCCTCACTGGAAATCATAGTTGGGATTCGGGGAATCATCCCAAAACGGCCTCAATTATCTTAATTCAGGTTAGTGAAATATGATAATTTTCCCAGATCTTTTTTTTGCTGAAGATTCTTTTCATTTCTCACCTTTTTTCATCACCATAGAGCTGGAAGATGGATGGGAAGATGCTGAGCTACTTAGGGAAGCCGATATCATGGACGGTGAGCTTTCTGGGTAAAATTGGGGAAGATGCTGTTCTTTACCAGCATTTATGGAAATCCCCATTTATTGAAAAAGGATTAAAGCATATTAAAGTAATTACTCAACTAATCCATCTATCCCAGATTAATGTAGGTCTTGATTTGCTGAAGGGGTCTCTTAAACACACTTATAACATCTTATAACTTATATCCATATATATATATATTATTATATTGGGGTTTCCATAAATGCTGGTACCTCAATAGCTGGATGGTTTTTGATGCACAATCCATTAATAAAATGGATGAGAACTGGGGGTACCCCTATTTTAGGACACCTCCATATATAGTATAGTAGCCACCAAGAAGATAGAACACAGGACAGAGGCACTTTCTTTTGGATTGGATTTTACTATTGTTGATGATAAGTTGGATCCAAGCTATAGAAACGAACTAACTCATGATTTATAGCAACTAGCCTCTGGTTATTTAACATAGCCATGGGAAATGGCCCATAGAAATAGATGGTTTACCTATGGAAACATGGTGATTTTCCATGGCTATGTTAAATAACCAGATGGTAAGTCATTTATCACTTTTTTGGCAGTTGCTAAACTAATTTGAGAGATGGTGTCAAAATTTTGGCATCTCTGGCTCCATCATGAATTGCCGCTGTGTGGTTCGCAGGAAGGTAACACTTAAAGAGGGGGGTAAATGTCCATCAGAAATGGACATTTGTCACATGATTTATCCATAAAACATATGGAGGTTTCCTGAGTCATAGGGCTACCCCCAGTTCTCATCCATGTTAATGATGGATTTTCCCTTATAAACCATCCAGCTATTGGGGTACCCCCATTTATGGAAACCCCCATTTGTCGGTAATGGATTGATATCATCAGAAGCATGACATGTGAGAGCGAAAAACAACTTTTTTGTTGTTCAATGGGTAAAACCATTGTAAACACAAAACATGTTTTCCTGCTTCATTGTTTCCATTTCACTCAGATGTTTGATATTTTCTTTGGCACATGTTTGAATGATTCACACTTGGTCACGAAAAATATCAAAATGCCAAACTTCAAACACAAAGCAAAGACCTGGAACGAAAAAGAAACGTGGTCGGAATAGGAAACGCCGAATGAGAAGATAGATTGAAAGGCAGCCATGGCGGGCGTCTTCGGAAATTTGAATGAGCCACTTGGCTAGACCAACTGATGACTGGTTGGTTGAATCCTCTTTTTTGGAGAATTCGTATACCACTCGGAAACAGTGTGGTCAAGTCATGGAATAGCAAAAAAAAAAACTGCTCCAGCTTTTCCAAAAGCCTGGACACCAGACCCTGCATTTCGGTGACCTCTCACCAAAAACGTCTGGCTTTATGGATAGGGATTATTAACCTATAAGCACCCAGCAACCAGAAGAATGATGGCGAATCCTCACATATCTTCACCACACCATCAATCATTGGGGCCATATTATTTGCCATAAACATAAATGAAAATCCCAACGATACCTGGCTGGTGGTTTGGAACATGAATTTTATGACTTTCCATCTATTGGGAATGTCATCATCCCAACTGACGATTCGTCCATCATTTTTCAGAGGGGTAGGTATACCACCAACCACCAACCAGATAATCAACTTTCCATTATTAACAATGTTTAACCATCATTAACTCTTATTAACCATTATGAAACCATACTAATCATACTAACCATACTAACCATACTAACTACATTACAACAGAATAAGAGTTTGTCTGGAAATATGGTTTACCCCCAGGATCTCATGATTAACCAGTTTTGAATCAGACACATCCCAACATCAGACACATCCCTATGCTGGCGATTTTGAACCCCCTTGGAGATTTACAACGTTGTCATTGCACTTTGAGAAGGAGTTTATCTACCATTATTATCTCAATAAGACAACATTGAAACTATTTCAAACTCAGAAAACAGCCACATTCTTGTGGCTGTCCCAAGAAAATCACATTACCCTCTGGTAAACATAACAAAAAGCTATGGGAAACCCATAGAAACAGATAGTTTACCTATGAAAAATGGGTGGATTTTCCAGTTCGCAAACTGTCTGGAATTTTACCAGGAACCAGGTGCTGCAGATCTTGTGCTACCTGGCACCCGCGGATGTGCCTCGCCGCACCGGGGAAGTGAGGGAAGTGATTTATCTATTGCATCTTATATATATAGATATATTGGCAATATGTGGTTACTATACTATATATGGAGGTTACTATACTATCAATTTTGTGGGGATATTCCCTTACATAGGCCTTATATAGGCCTTATATATGGTAGGTGCCTCCAATTTAGGATCCTGGAATGGCCATTGATACTATATATGGAGGTTACTATACTATATATGGAGGTTACGAACTAACTCATGATTATTTAACATAGCCATGGTATAGATGGCCCATAGAAATAGATGGTTTACCTATGGAAAAATGGTGATTTTCCATGGTTATGTTAAATAACCAGATGGTACATATGTTTTAATGGGTCATTAACAGGAATCAATGGGATACTCAACCAACATAACCATCAATAATGAGGATGAATGCCAAATATCTATGGAGGTTTCCTGAGTCATAGGGCTACCCCCAGTTCTAATCCATTTCACTTTCGGATTTTTCATTATAAACTATAAACACCTCCATTTGGTGGTATCCCCCATTTACGGAAGCCCCCATGTATGTATAGTGTATGTGTATATTATATGTATAGTACATTAAATGCTTTTGCACATTTTTTAACACGCATATATGTACAAATTTATGTGCATGTATATACATATACATATGACAACTGTATCCCACATGTTTGAACCACTCAACAAAGCATGCAGTCGACTCCTGTTGGTCCATCGTTGTATTCTAAGCCGTTGATGTGAACGAAAGAAAACCGGTTTATAACTAGATTTACTACAGTCTATTGTGATTCTATCATGTTAAAACTACAATTACGCTCTGGTAAACTAACATAGCTATTGAAAATTGCCATTTATAGTGAGTTTTCCCATTAAAAATGGTGATTTTCCATAGTTATGTTAGTTTACCAGAGGGTATATGGTTAGATGGGTCAATAATCCACCTGGATTGTGGTTTCCGAATTGTTGGATTTATGCTGGATTTGTCGAACTAGTTGGGAGCAATAGCAACAAACTAAACTGTTTCAGCCGTTGGCCCGATGTCACTTTGTATCCCATTATACTCAGAATATCGACCCATTATAACGACGACCTCACTGCGACTTCACTGGAATGATGACTGGTAGGGGTAGCTAAACCCAAAATGGTCTTAATTCGGTGAAAGAGATTATGATTTACCCAGATACAGGATGGGGCCCCCCAGTTATAAGTTGGTTTATATACCATTATAATTATAACCCCCCCATTAACTATAGTTATATCTACCATAAACCATAGTTAAACCACTTATAAGGCAACTGAACGCTATCTTGGGGGCCCCATCCTGTACAATATGATACTGTACAATTATACCATATCATTGAATCCTTATCTGGTTGGTGGTTTGGAACATTTTATATTTTACCACATATTGGGAATAATCCTCCCAACTGACGAAGTCATATGAAGTCATGAATCTTTTTCAGAGGGGTCAAAAAAATTGAAATTACCAACCAGTTATAATCTTCCCATGCTTTAGCTTTCATGGAAGTCTCAGAGATGGGTACCCAGAGATTTCCTTCTCACGTTGGCGAACAAAAATACCATGTGGGAAACTAACGTAGCTATGAAACATGATGAAACATGACCATTTTTATCCATTTATAGTTGATTTACCTACATTTCTATCCATTCATAGTTGATTTACCTTATAAAAATATTAAACATGGTGTTTTTCCGCAGCTATGTCAGGGTGTATCCTGGAAGGTGAGGCCGCCAAACGTCCTGTTTAGCGTTCTTTCGTAAACAGGGGCCTCACCTTATCATAGCTTACCCTCTGGTTATGTCAAAATAGCTATTGAAAATGGCCATTTATAGTGGATTTTCCCATTAAAAAATGGTGATTTTCCATAGTTATGTTAATTTACCAGAGGGTACATTTTATTATATCCAACTAGGTTATGAAATATTTTACGTTCTTTGTGGTTATTTTTGTTTAGTTCACAGTCACCATCATGAAATCATATATTAATATATTAAATCACGAAATTGCATATCCGTCCCATTGAATCCCATTAAAGAAAGAATTGGTTGTAACTATAACAACCAATCCCATGGTTCACTGTTTTCAGGCCATCTCCATGACCCAAACTTCCAAGTTTCTGGGCAGCGATCACCAAGGGACTGGAGAAAAAAAAGGGGCTAACAGGGAGTTAATAGGGATTCATTGACATTTAATGGGGAGTTAATGGGGATTTCATACGTTTTAAGGAGATATTTCATGCTTAATATCCATTGATAGTGATTGAGAGTGGGATGACTATGAATTACCCTGTGCTAGAGTAACAGTTTGTTCTTGGAAATCAGCATCTTTTACAGGTAGATCATTTATAAATGGACCATTTCCCATTTGGAAGCATTCCGTTAAATCATGGGCCAGGCACCATAGAAGGCCGAGTTGGCCCAATTTGGTAGTTTTTCGAGTCACTAAGACCAGTGAAGGTTTTGTTGAAGTGGACCATGTTGCGAAACAAAAACGTCATTTTTGCACATCTATTTTTTGTTACTTATAATTACAATTATTCTTAATTATAATATGATGGAATATTGTTACTTATAATTATAATTACACATAATTATTATTAATTATAATATGATGGACCATACTTATAATTATAATGCTCTAGTAGCTATTGACTATCCATTATAACTATGATAGACTATGACTATCTCACATGTTTAAAAACATCTATGACAACTATCCAAAGTTGTACCAGCCCCATTTCCAGAACAAGTGCCGGCAGCAATGAAGGGAATATCCGCTCTGCCTATCACTGATGTGCTAGAGAGGCAAGGTGATGCCCGTCAAGTTGATGAAACTAAGTATAGTAAGAACAGGACTTACCCTCTGGTTATGTCAAAATAGCTATTGAAAATGGCCCAGTCGAAATAGTTGATTTTCCCATTAAAAATGGTGATGTTCCATAGTTATGTTAGTTTACCAGAGGGTACGGCAGATATATCATAGTTCATGGTTTTTTTCCAGCCAGCTCCTAACAGAGACATCTGATCACAACCCCTTTGTCAATGGGAATTCCAGGATCCGAAATTGGAGGTACTGTACCATATAAGGCCATATTTTGGGGGTATATCTCCTTACATAGGCCTTATATATGGTAGGTACCTCCAATTTAGGTTCCTAAAATGGCCATTTACTTTGCCTTGCGTTTGTTTGCACTCGATTTTTCCAGCTTCAATCCCACCTGGGTCGATGATCCCAATTGATGATTCTTCGATCAAAATCACCACGCTAGCTGGTTTTATGAGAACTATAGTAAGTAACCAGCAGTAAGTAACCCAATAGATCGATGTTGACTATTGAAAAAAAAGTTTTTTATTCTATTTGCTGGTTACTTACTAGAGATGTTGCCAATGTTGCCCTAAATCTATGAGGGACAGCAATGTTGCGACCAATGGGTTTCATTCGGATACTACCCAGCTTTTTTTTGGAGATGATCAAGGATTATCATAGTACATATGTACATGAACTGGGAAAACTCTATTTACAGAACCAGTATTTCATGGAATGATATTTCAGGTTTTAAACGCTGTTCATGTTGGTGTATTGAATTATGTCTGCAGGTGATAGCCCAATTTTATTGGTTCTGATCCTCTTTCACCCAGGTTCACAAACCAATTCACATGTTAATGTTTTTCATTCATATCCATTGATAGATTGTTTCCTTCAGATGCTTATGGGTCAATTTTTTGGGTCCCCCAAAAATTGGATGGCTAATACATTTTAATACGAAGCATGACTAAACCCTGCATTTTTACAATTGGCCGTTTGTGACCCATACCCAAATTGGCCCCACATGGGGAAGCGTCAAAAATCGCAGTCGATGTCAGGAATGAAATGTTTGCGCCAAAGAAGGCTCTTATGGAGGGCTACTTCGAGCACTGCACCAGGTGCCTGTGGAATCCTATGGATCAGAATGATGCCACAGCGCAGTGAACAAGGGGTTTGAACTAGTAAACCTGTTTTTTTTTGTGGCAAAAGTGAAGATTTATGATTGAATATAACAACTATAGTAGATTTATGATGGCTGAATTGGTTGATAAGCACGGGAGAAAAGTCAATGTGGTCAGGTCACTCGTTTTGCTCTACTTTGAGACCATGAATATGTGGATGAAGATGCTGCTGCTGCTGATGATGATGATGACGATGACGATGACAATACTGATAATCATGACGAGGACGAGGAGGACGAGGAGGACGAGGAGGACGAGGAGGAGGGACTTGGCGTTGATGATGATGACGATGATGATGATGATGACGATGACAATGACAATGATGATAATGATGAGGAGGACGAGGAGCAGAGACATGATGTTGATGATGATGACAATGACAATGACAATGACAATAACACAGACAATGACAATGACAATGATGATAATGATGAGGAGGACGAGGAGGAGGAACATGACGTTGATGATTATGATGACGATGATGATGGTGATGATGATGATGACGATGACAATGACAATGATGAGAATGCTGAGGAGGACGAGGAGGAGGAACATGACGTTGTTGATGATGACGATGATGATAATGAGGATGATAATAATAATGATGATGAGGAGGAGGAGGAGGAACATGACGTTGTTGTTGATGATGATGTTGATGATGATAATGAAGACAATAATAATGAGGAGGATGAGGATGAGGAGGAGGAACATGACGTTGTTGATGATGGTGATGATGATGATGATAATGAGGATGATAATGAGGATTATAAGAATAATGATGAGAATGAGGATGAGGAGGAGGAGGAACATGACATTGTTGTTGATGATGTTGATAATGAGGATGATAATAATAATGATGGAGGATGTGGATGAGGAGGAGGAACATGACGTTGTTGTTGATGATGATGATAACAATAATAATAACCATGAGGATGAGGAGGAGGAACATGACGTTTTTGATGATGATGATAATGAGGATGATAATGAGGATGACAATAATAATGATGAGGATGAGGATGAGGAGTAGGCACATGACGTTGTTGCTGCTGATGATGATGATAATGAGAATGATAATAATAATGATGAGAATGAGGAGGAGGAACATGACATTGTTGATGATGATGATGATAATGATGATGAGAATAATAATCATAATAATAATCATGATGAGGATGTGGATGAGGAGGAGGAACATGACGTTGTTGATGATGATAATGATGATGATGATTATAATGGGGATGATAATAATAATAATGATGAGGATGATGAGGAGGAACATGACGTTGTTGATGATGATGATGATAATGAGTATGATAATAATAATCATGATGAGGATGTGGATGAGGAGGAGGAACATGACGTTGTTGTTGATGATGATAATGATGATAATGAGGATGATAATAATAATGATGAGGATGAGGAGGAGGAACATGACATTGTTGTTGATGATGATGAGGATGATAATAATAATCATAATAATAATCATGATGAGGATGTGGATGAGGAGGAGGAACATGACGTTGTTGATGATGGTAATAATGATGATGATGATAATGATGATGATAATGAGGATGATAATAATAATGATGAGGATGATGAGGAGGAACATGACGTTGTTGTTGATGATGATAATGAGTATGATAATAATAATCATGATGAGGATGTGGATGAGGAGGAGGAACATGACGTTGTTGTTGATGATGATAATGATGATGATAATAATCACGAAAGGTAGCTCCAGAGGGGCTACCTTGAGTTTTACTTTACGAAGTAAAGGGGAGGGCGGCCAGCCCCGTTACCTGATTCTTCAGGAGATTGCTAGTCATTTTAGTTCCCCCCCCCCTCCACACCTCCCACGCACCCTAAGAGCAGACTCAAAACATTGTAATTTACAGTATTTTTGTTCTTTTCGGATCAAGAAACCACATTTTGCTACAGGGTGAAACCTCCGTAAATACCAGTGTTTTTGCTAGGTGCTGGCCAAAAAATACTGTAAATACCGTGCTTTTTACTACCAGAGGCAAAAAACATCGTAAATACTGTGGTTTTGGGCTTCCGACCCGCCAAAAACATCGGTATTTACGGTGTTTTTTGCTCCGAGAGTTGCAAAAACACGCGAAAACACCACCGATTTGACGATTTTCGGCCACTACGGAACCGAGCAAAAACGCTGCAGGGGTAACACCAACACCAACAACAACAACACCAACAGCAACAGCAACAACAACAACGACGACAACAACAACAACAACACCAACACACAACGCACAATGCACAACGCACAACGCACAATGCACAACGCAAAACGCACAACGCACAACGCACAACACACAACACACAAAACACACAACACACACACACAACACACACAACACACACAACACACACAACAACACACAACAACACACAACAACACACAACAACACACACACAACCACACACAACAACACACACACACAACAACACACAACAACACACCACAACACACAACAACACACCACAACACACGCAACACACAACAACACAACAACGCAACAACAACACACAACAACACACAACAACACACAACAACACACACACACAACAACACAAACAACACACAACAACACACCACAACACACCACAACACACACAACAACACACAACAACACACAACAACACACAACAACACACAACAGCACACCACAACACACCACAACACACCACAACACACCACAACACACAACAACACACAACAACACACAACAACACACAACAACACACAACAGTACACAACAACACACAACAACACACAACAACACACAACAACACACAACAACACACAACAACACACAACAACACACAACAACACACAACACACAACAACACACAACAACACACAACAACACACAACAACACACAACAACACACAACAACACACAACAACACACAACAACACACAACAACACACAACAACACACAACAACACACAACAACACACAACAACACACAACACCACACAACAACACACAACACCACACAACAACACACAACAACACACAACAACACACAACAACACACAACAACACACAACAACACACAACAACACACAACAACAACAACAACACCATCAACAACAGCAACAGCAACAACAGCAACAACAACAACAACACGAACACGAACAATACCAACACCAACAACACGACCAACAACACCAACACCACCAACAAACCCAACCACACCAACAACACTAACAACACCAGAAACACTACCACCACCAACAACACCAACACCACCAGCACCACCAACACCACCAACACCACAACCACCACCAACCCCAACCACATCGCCGAAGCCTTTCAGTCGCTTTTACCAGCCTCCCCTTCATATTTTTGGAAAGAAAATGGCCGCGTCGCTTTTACCAGACTCCACTTTATGTATTTTTCCCTCCCCTCTCCCCTTCATTTTTTCTTCGGTTCCTTTCTTGCTTACCTACCTTTCGTGTTCCCCCTCTCAAGTAATGATGATGAGGATGATGAGGAGGAACATGACGTTGTTGATGATGATGATCATGAGTATGATGATAATAATCATGATGAGGATGGTTTGTGAAGGCGGCCAACTTTCTGGGGCAAGGCGGCAGAGCCAGCTTCCATGCCGCTGAGCTGGTGGCTGTGGAACAAGCTGGCCTCACCTTGACCCCCACTGAGGCGCCGGGCCTTCTGGCAAGACACCTACGGATGGACAAGGGATCGGGAGGAGGTGTTGCGAGAGTTCAGGGAGAAGTGCGAACAGGACGAGAAGGACCTTGTGGCCATGATGTTGGCCGAGATCCCTGTGGCGACGGAGGCACTTGAAGCTACAGGCCACTGGGACCCGGAAGAGAACGCGTTCCATTGGCTGACGCCCTACCACCACGCTACGCAGATGGTGGTCAAGCGGGTGGCTCGAGGCAACTATACCTTCTCTCCAAGACAATGGTGGACAGGTTGGTGGCACTGAACAACCGATGCCAAGTAGATCTTGAGACGCAAGAGAACGGTCTAGAGACAGAAGCCATCTTGGAGCATGTGGCAAGGGAGGATGTGATCTTGGTGGTCCTTGCCTCCACCTGGCTCTCCCACCCTACCATGGAACGACTTGCCAACTGGTGGGAGAGGTACCTAGGAACCAACCTGCCACTGATCTTCAGAGGAGAGACCACTGATGGGCTCATCGCTGATCTGGACCACACGACCATGGAGCAGCATCTTCGGAGTCATGCCTGGGCTACTGGGCGCAACAAGCTGGAGCAGGCAGAACCCCACGAGCGGGGCTACTCACCTGAGGAAGGATTCACACCCAACGGGATCAACGCAGGTCAGTCCTCCCATGGGGAGTACCCAACCTTGTTCCCGAGGTGGCGTGCCTACACATGCCTGGGTTGGAACCCAGTGCATCCAGCTCTGCTGTGGGCACTGCAAGTGGGTTGGCTTCGAGGACAGACGCCATCCACCTCGCTCCCACCTGACTCTCAGCTGGCAGTCTGACAGGTCAGGAGTCCCTTGGTCTCTACTTGTGAGCGATGTGGACCGCACGGCCGCCATGCTCTTTATGACAGCCGGACAAGTGTGGCTAGGAGGCCCTCCACCAGATTGGTGGGGCCAGCAGGACTCACAGGCCCAGCAAGCAGTACAGACCAACGCGAACAACTTGTTCAAGAAACAACTGGCCCTTCTTCCTGCGAGGGTGCCAGAAGAGGATCTTGGACCCTACGCCCAACCGAGGGCAGACAGGACTGGGCCGTACATCTGGGAGCAAGGGCGTCCCTTGGCCTTGTGGTACCCAGTGGTGGCAGTGGAGAGGCTTCCATTCTGGTTTTGGGCAGTGATGGCGGTCACGGCGACAGGCAGGATGATCCCGGTCCCACTGGTGCCGATCGAGAAGAGACCATCGGTGACTGCTGCACTGCAGCACTTTGTGGGGATGTCCAGACATTCAACACAGTGCCACAGGTTGGGCTATTGCAGAGGATGGTCGAGGCTCAGAACCTCTCAACAGGTGCAGAGAGGCTCCAAGCTACCTTCTTGTTGCAAGAGCCGGAGAGGAGTGGAGAAGGAGCTATAGATTGGCTTCGGATTCGAACACCTTTGTGTGGGCTGCCATCTCACGAGTGGCAGTCCACTCTGCTGCCATGGCACCATCTTGACACGGGCGCCGCCCCCCTGGGGCGGGAACCGTGGCCAAGGGCCACTTGTACAGGTTCCCTTGCATGCGCAGCAGACCCATCGAGCTGTTCGTTGGGACGGAGTTGGAGTGTAGCAGCGCCCGAGCTTGGCGCGAACTCCGTTCCCTTGTACAGTCGGCAGTTCGTGGGGAAGATGACTTCAGCTGGACAGAGGGGTGGATCAGGTCCGGAGAACGCTACAGGCCCAGAGGACAACTTCCCAGGTGCCCACTGCGTGTGGGGCACAAGGCCATCCAACTGAGGTTCAACCTCTGGTGGGCTCTAGTGCCACAAGAGGAAAGGCCGCAGCTCTTGCATGTGTACGTCCAGGCAGGGCTGACAAGAGCAAGGTTCCCTGTGGGAGTGTAGCTCACACTTCTGAAGCGGCTCAGCTCCTTGCTCGTCAGGTACGGCGAGTTCAAGGTGCGCCACTCCTGGCAACTAGCAGTCGGCTTGGAAACCCTCTTCGGGCATCCGGAGACGCCCAAGGAGCCTGAAGTGCTCCAAGAGAAGCTGAGACTTGCCTTGGGGGCAGGAGACCAGAGCGCCGAGCAACGGGCTGACATGGTCCAGCTCTGTCACCGAGGGCTGACTATCATGGAGAAGAGGGCCCCGGAACTCCGCACCTATGGTGACCAGGAGGGTCCCATGGAGCAGCTTCTTCAACTGGCCCACTCCCAAGTCAGTGTCGGGCTCCCAGGGTTTGCGAAGACCAAGGCTTCTGCCTTCTTGCTAGAGCCCATGCTGATCTACGATGTCAAGAGAGGAGGGATGCCCCAGCATGGTCCGGCGACGCCACTCACTGAAGTGTTCCGAGGGTTCTGGAAGCCTGAGCCTCCGAAGCTGAGGGGCCTTGGGATGTCAACCACTGTGGCACATGCGCAGTGGACCTGGGCCCTCCAGGGGGTGGAGATAATGAGGATGATAGTAATAATAATGATGAAGATGATGAGAAGGAACATGACGTTGTTGTTGATGATGATGATGATGGTGATGGTGATGGTGATGATGATGATGATGATGATGATGATGATGATGAGTATGATAATAATAATGATGAGGATGTGGATGAGGAGGAGGAGGAGGAACATGACGTTGTTGTTGTTGATGATGTTGATGATGATGATGATAATGAGGACGATAATAACAATAATAATGATGAGGATGAGGATGAGGAACATGACGTTGTTGATGATAATGATAATGAGTATGATAATAATAATGATGCGGATGTGGATGAGGAGGAGGAACATGACGTTGTTGTTGTTGTTGATGATGATGATGTTGATGATGATAATGAGGACGATAATAACAATAATAATGATGAGAATGAGGATGAGGAACATGATGTTGTTGATGATGATGATAGTGCGTATGATAATAACAATCATGATGAGGATGTGGATGAGGAGGAGGAACATGACGTTGTTGTTGATGATGATAATGAGGATGATAATAACAATAATAAGGATGAGGATGAGGATGGGGATGAAGGCAACCAAGTTGTTTTTTTGATCAAAGTTTGTTTTTTGATCACCTACGCTATATCCCCAGGGCTCCAGTCAGTCGAGGACCCCCCTTTCCCTGCATAGGCCGTAGGATTGGGGTCTATTTTGAACCATGGATAATCATGGGTTATTTCAATAGATACCCCCAACAATAGATAGCCCATTTCTATAGATACCATGATATTGTGGGTTATTGATACCCATCATCAATATTGGTATATATTGGTATCTATAGAAATATCATGGTATCTATAGAAATAACCCATGATTATTACCAATATTATATTGGGGGTTATTTCAATAGATACCCCATTGATTTTTTTTGGAAGCATGGATGATGAACCGTTGGATTTTTGTGATATTTTGCGGGGTATCCTATCTTCAAACCTAAATCAACTCCCAAAACGGGTGTTTAATGGGATATAATGGGATATAATGGGGTTTAATGGGGTTTAATGGGATGTAGTGAAATTTAGTGATATACCCTCTGGTAAACTAACAGTTTGCGACATAGAAAATGGCCCAATCGAAATAGTGAATTTTCCCATGAATAGCATGGTGATTTTTCCATCGTTTTTTGTTAACGTTTACCAGAGGGTAAACTCACTAAACTCCTATTAAAAATATGATTTTTGGTGTCCATAAAGCTGGTGTCCGTCCGCAAAAAGGTATCCGTCCTTAAAGATAACATCAACCCTATGGCCCTATGGCCACTTGTTTTGTGACGTCCTTGATCTGTAGGTAATCCCCATAGTATAGCAAATTTATGTTGGTAATTAATAACCATAATGTACCCCAGTCATATGTGGGATATGCCCAGTATTTGAAGGTTGTTTTTGCAACTGAATCGATTCCTGGCACATCGTATGCCACGTGTCACAGGCGAATTTTTGTTTTGAGCAAGTTGGAGGCTGCAGACGGAGCTGTCACCTGGCGCTGCACTCTATCGAAGTCACCTCGAGCAGTGAGACCTGTGTTGATGGATGATATGGCTATGGATCAATACCTATTAATACCATTTTTAGGGGAATGAACATCCATTTACCAGCTATTTTGATGTTCACCAGGGGTACAAGGTTTTGACACACTGCCATATGGGGTTCTATACAGTACCTGACTCATTAAGGATCAGTATATGGACAATATGGGGGGTTCCAGAAATGGGGAATCCCCAAGCGAGCTTAGGATGGTTTATTTCATGGAAAATCCATCTATATATGGATGATAAATCGGGGTACCCCCATGACTTAGGAAACCCCCATATGTACAATATAAATATTTGTCATAATGGTTCATTGTCCACGAACTAGAAATCCTATTCTCAAGCAACGAGTAGCGGAGTATGGGATGACGCCTGTGGCGATCTCACCAAGGCCATCATGGAAGCCCATCGCCTTCGTGGGAAGATCAGTTTACTATTGGATAATGGGTTCCAGTTTTTTTCTTGGGCAACAATGATATCCAATAGTAAACTGAATAAATGTACAATAGTTATTTTTATATCTAATAGTAAACTGAATAATAATCATTAATATGAAATAATTGTTATGGATCTTTTGGGCCGGAATATATTTCAGATGAAACTTATCATATTGATGGGTCATCAGCAAAGATCAAGACAAAACAAGATCAGGCATGATAGTTCTTTGATACCGGCGGGTTTGTCGGAAAGTCAAACTTTGATGAGTTCCAGCTATAAGATTTTGAGATATTTTGAGATGGTCAACTGTTGGTTGCAATCCAACTGACATAGACCCTGAAAACAGCAATTTCTCCTGGTTGGTGGTGACTGGAACCATGGAATTTTATGACTTTCCATCTATTGGGAATTAATAATCCCAACTGACGAAGTCCATCATTTTTCAGAGGGGTAGGCTCAACCACCAACCAGTCTCTATCTTTCAAGTGATCCAGATCCATTTCCCTAGGTCACAGGTGCTGCCAATGGCTATCCCGCTGTTGGCGCTCCAGCAGTCGCTTGGGCGACCTTGGGGACCTTGGGGACCTTGGGTTTGGCCGGGCCCAATAGTGGTTTAACATGCTTTGACGCTCCCAACACATTGGGTCAAAAGTGCAAACCCAATAAAACTAAGGGTATATGTGCAATATATATATATATATATACATATATATATATATATACATATATACAGTATGGCTTACAACAAATGGTAATGGGATGTAACTGCGCAAAGGAAGTGGATGGGTAGTTTAGAGAAAAACTTAGTGTGTGTTGCTCTATGTTGCTATAAATGGTGTATTGATCTCAACTGGATTGATCTAAGATTGGCCATGTAAGATCATGTAGGTACTACTTGCATCAAAAATCGAAAAAAATCCATGGTGACTTGATTTCACCATGGTGACTATCGCTGCTATAAATGTGGCTTCATTGAATATAATAGGTTTTGATCCATCCCCATATCTGAAATTGGGGGATTGTTTGTGATTGTTTACTATCTGCTAGAACTGGGGATAGTGTTAATCTTCAGCCTTGCAACAGCCTCAAGACCAGGCATGTACAATCACTTGAAGCATCTCAATGGGTGGAATGTACAGTAGATGTTTTGGAAGGAATTCCAACGTGTTCACTACCTCGTTCACATTAAAACCTCCATTTTGGGATCTAGAGACTACTACTATTGTCCCATCTGAGTTTCCATTAAAACCTCCTAATTTTTTAGGGAAAATATCCAGCAGTCATGTTTGATGACAGCGTTACGGGTACTTTTGGCTTTAGACACTGCTGTGATTTGCCCTGTTGCTGATCGAGAAGTATCGTAGGACAAATGATGAGGAGAGCGCCCGCATCAACAGATTTAGTTCAAGATAGAAACATCGTGGAGACTGGCTTAAACTGTTTATCTAGCTATGCTGACTGTGCTTTTCTGACTGGCCATATTTTCAGATGAATGATGATGAACGTACAGTCATCCACTTCTTCAGGGGATATCAATCCCTAACATTTTAGGTTTTGCTTGACGTGGTTACGCTACCCTGAACCATGTTGAACCCAGTTTTTTTTGGTGATTGATCCATGGTCAAGCTGTCGTTAAGCCACCATTTGTAAGTGTTGGTTTCTCAACCACATTTTGAAGATCTCCATGGCGTTTTCAGCATGAGGTGACCTCTTGGTACGAAGCCTTTCAGAGTTGGCATCAGGTGCGGTAATCCGGGCCTTGGGATTGCAGGTAAATTGAGGTGACTACCCTCCGGTTGTAATTTTGAAATAAGTCTAGAACATGGTCAAACATGGGCCATTTAGTTTGATTTGATGATTTGTCTTTGAAAAATTGTGATGTTCATGCAGCTATTTTAAATTACCAGAGGATTTCACCTGCGATTCGGGGATGTCTGCATATAGGGTGGTTACCTCTCAACAAATCATGGTGCATGAGATGCATGGAACTGATGGACAGCTGGCCCCTAGCTTTGCAGCAACTTTTTCAGGTGGAATAGGACGATGGAGTTATACCGCAAGTTTTTTTTTGAAGAGTTCACATCCAGGCACGCTACAGGTTTTGTTTCGTCGATTTCAGCATGGAAAGGCCCAGGCCGAAAATTCTGGAAGTCAAAACAAGACCCAGGATACCCAGGATACCCAGGATACCCAGGATACCCAGGACTCGGGCAGATGTCATGGATAAAAGATATGGACCCTCTTAGCAGATGGCCAGCCTCAACAGTTTCACCTGCGATGGAAGGCGTCTGTTCTTCAGATAAGTTGTGCAGGAAAAACTTCTGTTGTTTCGGGTGCGGTAACCGCGGTATGTCGATATCTCAATATTGATACCAAATTCCTGGCATACATGTCTCACTCTCACAAGGCAACTTTTGTTTCCAGCAGTTCTTTGCAACCCTATTTGCACGGAACATGTTGTTGATAGGCCGGTTCTACTTGATCACTTTCTCATCATTGTCTCCTGACATTCAGAGCCAGTTCTAATCGTTGCATTTACACCGGAAAATATTCAAAGAGTTCAACGTTTGTTTATTGCGAACAAAAAACTGAAGAAGAGTATTAGGATTGTTTTTTTTTTTTCGGGTATATCCTGGAGGTATTTTCGGTGAATATCACGGGGATATACTACAATGTGGGGCCCCCAAGTTAACTTGAAGTTAAAATACATATAAATCGAGTTAGAGAAGTTAACTTGAAGTTATGTTAACTTATCTTAGCACTATTTATAACTTAAGTTATATCTTTGCTAACTTTTTTGGATGGTTTTTTGGTCATGATTATGAGATTTTCGTCGTTTCACGGTTGTTTTGGAGAACCCTGTGTCCGCCGCGCTTTTTTGACGCTGCCAGGTGGTGATTTATCACGGAAGGCACATGACCGTATCACTTTTAGTGTTGGTCCAGGCCGGCACATGGAAGTTCGCCAAGGACCGGTGGTCCACTATTTCCCTATCGTTGCTTCGCCGGAAGATTCTGTACGAATCCCCATGGCGAATCGGCGCCAGCTTTGTGATGTACACATACAAGCGGCTGCCTTTGTGCAAGAAAAAGTGAACACGCTTCTTGCAGGTTTTTGCCGAAGAGAAGGCAATCGTTTTCTTTAATCTCCACCATTTTGCCGTTTAGTCTCCCAGAATGGGATGGGTTCGCCTGTCGGCCAATTCTTCTATCCTGGCAACATTGTATCCTCTCAGCTCCCAATAAGCGAGAGGATGGTACTCACCACACTCACCTTCCCGGTCAACCCGGGATGACGAGTGAATCATGTTCTTCTTCAGCACGCCTCTGGCCTGCGAGAAGGACAGCCTCTTGTCCACACTGTTCATGCGCTCCGCCCGAGAATCTTTGTAAAAGGCCACCACATCATCTTCAGTGAGGCACGAGGAAAGCTCAATGCCATGACGAGCGAGCTGTCCTTTCACAGCGTGACAACTCTTGCACGTCCAACGCAGGTCTTCTCGAAACTTGGGGGTGCAGATGGCTTCATCCCTCTGCACAGACGAGGTACAGCGTCGACAGATCACCTTGTCTTCGACCGTAGGCACGTCCGTCGCCATAGCGCCCTCAGGCGGAGGCGCCTCAGCGGCTGCCTCTGCGCCATCCGGCTGCGATGCAGGCACTTCCACGGCATCCTGCGTCGGATCCGGAATCTCTACCGTTGGCACCTCTGTCATTGTAAGCCAACAGAACAGCAATGGACAATTGCGACGCTCCCTTGCGATTCCTGAAAAAAAGCTGCGGTAAAGTGGTCATGTAGGAAACACAAAGAAACTCATTTTTGACTCATTCGCGTTTCCACGACACTTCTTTTATAGGTCGGAAACACATACGCGTGCCCGGTCAAACATATGGTTTCAGTTGAAAACACATTTGCGTTTCCCTTCTATGCTGGAAACACATCCCCGAACTTAGACTCAGAGTTATCTCAAGGAAACACATTTTTGACACATACGCGTTTCCAGCCTTCTTTTTTATTACTAATAGGAAACACAAGCGCGCTCCCAAGCTTGCTGGCAAGTAAAGTGGGAAACACTAACGCGTTTCCGATGTTTTTTAGAATTTTTCCTGGAAACACACCTGCGTGTCCCAGAAAGTCCTTTTTTTCCGTCGCGGGTTCAGTTTCTATGGTCTGTACAGAAAGGTCCATGCAAGTTTCTACTGGAAAGACTTGCCAGCCGTTTCCATGGCTGAGCAGCGCTACCATCAGTTCCTTGTGGTGCCCTGCGGCATCTGCAGCCGCAGCTGCCTTTCCAGGAGCTTTGCCTTCCGCCTTCTGCGGTGGCACAGCTTTCTGAGCAGCGGCTCTCACCAGCGCTGATGAGGCTTGTCGCCAGCAGATCCCGTGCCCTCAGGCGCGGCCGCAGCTTTCACTTCCGCGTCTCCAAAAATTTGCAGATTCGGCAATAGCGCATCAGGCTGCCTGACTGCCGTCTGCCCACCCATGGCAACGGCAAAAATTGCAACCGTCTGTGCCATTTGCAAACCTGCCAGGCGAGGATCCGGAAAGCCCTGCAGGGCCAGCGTGTTCTGCTGATTCCCCAACTGCCTCTGCAACTGCACCTCGCGATGTGTGTTCCGCAAAGGAATGGTGCGGGCAGTTTGCCAGACCACATTCAAATCCACAGACATGGGAGGAGCAGCGAATCCGCCAGGGGCCATCGCCTCTGCCACATCGCTCGGCAACTCTGCCACCTGGTTGGGCAACAACTCCAAATAGCGACCTGCTGGCAATGGAATGCCAGAGTGTCCAGCCCGTGTCACTGTTGTCTTCAAGACACTCTTGACCGTTTGTAGCAACGTCAGCAGCTGTGGAATTGTCAAATTGTCCTGCTGTCCCACCAGCGAGGCAATGACAGCCATCGATGGTTCCGTCGGATGACGCATTCCAAGGTTGTTCACTAAGTGCCGAACCAAGCGATCAACCCGACTCACTTGAGACATCTTCCGATCAGCAAGAGCATCCCAAATTTCTTGTGACAGATATAAGGGAAAACTCCTATAGTCCTGCATGCTCGCCCTGCGCAATTGCTGGCTTTCAACCTGCGCCATGGCCACCTCCTACAAGAAGCCGCTTTGAGCCATGAAAACCAACGGATATTCTGTTTTTCAAAGTAGATACATCCATTTTGCAACAACAAAAAGCTAACGTGTCTAACTTGTCTAACTCGTTTTTGCTTCAACCTGCTATCTCAAGTTATATCTTGGCCAACTTTATACATAAGTTAACATAGTTATAACTTATGTTGCCCCCACTTATAACTTGAGTTACCCCATGTTATAACTTAACTTATAACTAGGGGGCCCCACATTGTATATATATATATATATACGCGCAACGCCTGGGTTCTGCCCAGGCGTTGCAGCATATATATCTACAATTCACAAACAAATGATATTGCAAATTACAGTAATTCCTATGGGAAAAATAACAAAGGTATTGGGGACTATTAAACAAACAAGGTCAAAACACCCGAAATTCCTATGGGAAAAACAAAAACAGCATAATATTTGAAAAATTCTATGAGAAAAACAGAAAAGGTACTAGGAAATTTTAAACTCTCAAATCGTGAAACTTAACATTCAATTAGGAAGATCAACAAAGATATTAGGGAATGTTAAACTCCCACCCCCATTAAACCTTAAATTCCTATGGGAAAAAAACAGCAAAGGTACTAGGGACTATTTAAAAAAAAGGGTCAAAACACCCGAAATTCCTATGGGAAAAACAAAAACGCTATTAGGAAATATTAAACTCCAACCCCCGTTAAACTTTACATTCATTTGGGAAGATCAACAAAGATATTAGGGAATATTAAAACTCCCACCGCCGTTAAACTTCTACATTCACTGAAGATCTTCAATAAGGGTTTAATTGTCCCACCCCCGTTAAACTTCTACATTCATTGAAGATCTTCAATAAGGGTTTAATTCTCCCAACCCCGTTAAACTTTTACAGTCATTGAAGATCTTCAATAAGGGTTTAATTCTCCCACCCCCGTTAAACTTCTACATTCATTGAAGATCTTCAATAAGGGTTTAATTCTCCCACCCGCGTGAAACTTCTACATTCATTGAAGATCTTCAAAATAAGGGTTTAATTCTCCCACCCCCGTTAAACTTCGACATTCATTGAAGATCTTCAATAAGGGTTTAAATCTCCCACCCCCGTTAAACTTCTACATTCACTGAAGATCTTTAATAAGGGTTTAATTCTCCCACCCCCGTTAAACTTCTACATTCACTGAAGATCTTCAATAAGGGTTTAATTCTCCCACCCCCGTTAAACTTCTACATTCATTGAAGATCTTCAATAAGGGTCTTAATTCTCCCAACCCCGTTAAACTTCTACAGTCATTGAAGATCTTCAATAAGGGTTTAATTCTCCCACCCCCGTTAAACTTCGACTTTCATTGAAGATCTTCAATAAGGGTTTAATTCTCCCACCCCCGTTAAACTTCGACATTCATTGAAGATCTTCAATAAGGGTTTAATTCTCCCACCCCCGTTAAACTTCTACATTCACTGAAGATCTTCAATAAGGGTTTAATTCTCATTGAAGATCTTCAATAAGGGTTTAATTCTCCCACCCCGTTAAACTTCTACATTCATTGAAGATCTTCAATAAGGGTTAAATTCTCCCACCCCCGTTCAACTTCTACATTCATTGAAGATCTTCAATAAGGGTTTAATTCTCCCACCCTCGTTAAACTTCTACATTCACTGAAGATCTTCAATAAGGGTTTAATTCTCCCACCCCCGTTAAACTTCGACATTCATTGAAGATCTTCAATAGGGGTTGAATTCTCCCACCCCCGTTAAACTTCTACATTCACTGAAGATCTTCAATAAGGGTTTAATTCTCCCACCCCCGTTAAACTTCTACATTCATTGAAGATCTCCAATAAGGGTTTAATTCTCCCACCCGCGTGAAACTTCTACATGCATTGAAGATCTCCAATAAGGGTTTGATTGATGATGATGATGATGATGATGATGATGCGTCGCCCGTCGTCGTTGCGGGTCCGGGCAGAACCCAGGCATTTGCCGTATATATATATATGTGAGTAAAACAACTATAAACCATCCCTCAGTCATCACCATTTTTATAGTTGGTATGGTTTCCATTCCCAAATTGGTGGTTTATGGCATTGCTTTACCACCATTAAACAGCTGTTTGCTGTCGTGCAAATTCCCTGTACACCGTGGAGACCAGCTGGAAATCTGGGATTTCGTGCTAGGCCTTGGGTGAAGTGAGTGCTACCTGTGCCAGGAGTTACGGGGAGAGAAAACCAGGAGTGTGCCGAAAAAAAATTGATGGCTTAGCCATAATGGTTTTATAATGGTTTGATAGAGATTTCAGAATGGGAGAATCTTGGTATACATATTAATGATTATTAATGGGGATTATATAATGGGGATTTTTTCCCTTCTGGGAATCAATTGTAGCAATTTTCCTTGTGGAAGTGTTGGCTGGGAAAATCCTCGAAGTAAATCGTGGACTAGCTAGCCATCCAGAGGGTAACTAAGTTTAAATGGAGATGGATGGGTTTAGCGAACAAATTGAGGGAAACCAACAATTTTATCTGGATATAATGGGGATAGCAATATATGACATGGAACTATGGAACATACATAAAAATACCATATCCAATAGCAAGATCATGTTTGAAACCCAATGCTTGGGCTTCCATGTTAGATGTAAAGGTTCAATCATAAAAACTTTTCAAGTTGGATTATGCGAACATAGTCAATTCAACAGATATTCTGAAGTATTTTTTTGGATGATTGTGGGTGGTTCTTTAAATGGACCCAGTTTAATATGCTTCAGGTTGCATTTGTTGATGCTTTTTGAGTACCCCAAGTTCATCCATTTGCACCCAGCAAAATTTTTGGTTGCAAAATCTACTATGACTGACGATCTTTTGAAATCCCCGCCAGTTCCATGTGGCCATGGACCTTTGGCACTGTGGACTTCTCATGGGTTTTGTATCATTGGTACGTTGTCTTGCATATCAACGCTCTGCTGTGGGAACAGTTAGAGCGTGAAGAGAGCGCAGAAAATCATCGAGTTCGTGTCAGAGAAGGCCTGCAAGAGCGGCCACATGCAGCTTCGCAAGCGTTGTATGAGCTCCAACTACGGTTGAAGAGGAAATCAAAAATGAGCAAAGGCGCACGGCGCAATTATGTTAATTATGTGCTGGATGGCAACTAAGACTGGCCTAAAAACATAGCAAAAGGAACCCCAAAAAGTCCCTAACGTCCCTTCTGGATCCCTACTAAAAGTAAATCCAGACATTTTCTGCTTTTTCAGCTTTTTGCAACATCTTGCAGCCAGCAAGGCGGCCAAGCACAAACGATATTCCTCTGGCCCGAAACATAGCAAAAGGAACCATACCTTGGGGGCCAGAGCTTGTATGATTAGAACTTAGTTACCCTCCGGTGTCATCAGGAAAATCCTCATATGATATATCACATTACCTTACACCCTATTCAGCTTAGTTTTAAACCATGCAACTTACTTGGGGGTGCAATTCCACTAATCAGTGACAGTGAGTCTTATATGGTATGTATATATATATATATTATATAACCGTAGTTGTGGGGGCTATCCCAACTTATGACAGTTTGAATCCCATCGTCCATAGTTCTACTCATAAGAATAGCCCCAACCACACCCCCAAGTATTGGTTGGAGACTCTTGTTGGTCCACAGAAAGATAATATATCATATCCTTATTTTACCATAAACCATTATCCTTATGGTGTCCGCGCATTATATCCTTATAGCACCATCATATCGATTTAAAATTGTGGGTTAACCCCTCAAATAATTGAAACTTGGGAGGTTCACTGGTTTATGATACTTATTATACTTATAACTAACTATGGTATTCATGGGGGTTAACCCCAAACAAACTGAACATTGGGGAGGTTAACGCCCAAAAAACTTGAACAAGTGGAGGTTAACAACCCCTCAAAAGCCAGGATAACCCCTTAAAATATACCATAGTATCATCATTATTTATATCTCCCCCCCCCCAAAAAAAATCACTTTGCCTTGGAATATAGAAAAAAACTTATTTAGTCCCTATGGAAGATCCAGCTGAAGCACCATGCCATTGATCATCCAGGACCGCCCTCCACGGTGCCGCTGGCTCGTTGCCCTCCTGGTCCTCTCGCTGGATCGCTGTGTGGAGAAGGACCGGAAAGAGGTGAAGTTTCCCATGGATTTTTGAGGAGATTGATGGGAATGTCATGGAATTCTATGGGAAATTCCAAGAACATTTTATTGGAATGTCATGACATGGAAGTTTATGGGAAATTCATGGACTTTTAATGGGAATATCATGGAAATTTCTGGAAAAACAACTGATGCGACCAGTAAATGTGAGGTTTTAGCAACCAAATAGTGGTGTTCAACCATCTAAGCGTATAGACAATACACTAAAATGTTGCTTTTGACCAGCAACCACCATGGGCTTGTGTTCAGCTGCCGTCAGGAAAATTTGTATCACAAAAGCAAAACCCAAATTTCACGAATCGGCATGTGGCATGTTTATGCATGTTTAATTTATGAACTTGTAAACATAAGTAAGGAATTATTATATATATATAATTATATATATAATTATATATAACATATATATATATAATGAAGGGAAAACAAATTTGTGTTACGCAAGAAAACTGACTGAAAAACATCCGGGTTTGATCGGACTTCAGCCCAACAAAATGGAGTAAGATTGGGTGATACCACCAACGAAAGCTGCATTGTCACCAGCAACCTTGTTTTCTTCAGTGGTTTCTTAAGCACCGTAGGGGATTTTCCCCACCGTACAATTTTCTTATTCAGATGATGATATGGACCTATATAATGGGTGAGTAGGTCAGAAACCCAGAAACCGATAAGTCCGAGAAGTTTCGTCCCATTGATACCCTCTGGTTATGACTAACAGTTCGCCATGGTATAGATGGTTCATAGAAATAGATGGTTTACCTATTAATAGCATGGTGGATCTTTCCATGGCGAACTGGTTAGTCATCACCAGAGGCTATCAGAATTTTCCATGTTTCGTCCGCAATGTTTAACCACCAGCGGGACGAGATCCCGAGATCCTTTCGTCCATTGTTTTTTAGTGCAGCACAGAAGTTTGTGTTTTGAGGTATATCTGTACTATATAGTACTTAGTATAGGTATGTGTAAATATTACTAAATATTGAAGAATCTCAGAAACTGGAGGCTTTGCTACTAAGGACAAGCAACCTTTTTTACTTGTCCTTTCACAGTGCCTTCAAAATATCTCACGTGAAGTCATGTGTGAAGATGTTTTTGTTGTTTTCTCCATGGGAAATCCACTACGACTGGGGAATCTATCGGACATATTTTTTTGGTGGTTCCTGGCAGTTCCTGGTTCGCAAATCCAGGGTGGCGAATTCTGAGACAATCGAAATCGAGGAAAAGTCGACCTCCATTTTTTGCAAACACAAACAGTCGAAACAGTTGGTTTCAGGAAAATATCATGTAAATTCTGTTCCTGTTGGCGAGTTTTTTTTTTGGAAACCAAGCCAATGACATGGCTGGGTCTCCGATGTCCGTCGAATCCGCCGGTTTTGAACGTTCAAGCTGCTAGGTTGTGACCTTAAGGGATAGAAGCTGGAAACCAGAGACATGTACCTGGTTGATCCTGTTTGGTGAAAGGCAGGTTGTTGTCATATGTCATGTTGATTCATGTTTTTATACTGTTTATATATATATGTATATATATTGATGTATTTTATCCATATTCATATGTTGTTTTTATTGTTTTGAGTGTTTTTGATCCTTAGTAACTTGCTTCTCATCTCTGTGTCACCTTATGATCATGGAACCAACAACTAGTCTTAGCTGGTCTTGTCCCCGTTGGCATTTTCCCACCGAAGTCTATGCGCGCTTAAACGTGCGTTGGATCGGTGACGCCATGGCAGCCACAGGTCTGGCCAATTTCTTTCCCAGCATCATTTGCGCAGTCATCACGGCAGCGCTGCTTATTGCTGGACTTATTTGTACGTCCTTTGGCATGAATTACTTGGGGGCTATACTGTAGTAGCTACAGGAAGGGGCGCTTAAACCATGGGTCAGTTGAATTAGAAGTATACTGAGTGTTATTCGTGGTCGGTGGATGTATCTATAGTTCCTTTAGGTTATGGATGGTTATGGTATAAACAAGTTACCTTCCTGTAAGGTTGTCATTGGTTATCCTGAGGGTTATCCTTACTGAGAGATCAACATCTGTAATTTGAATCATAAGAACATACCATGGTATATATATATAATGGTATAACGGTATAACTTACAACTTACCATAAGTAGTTGTAACGGTATAACTTCCAACCATACATAATCATACATAGTTGTACCGGTAACCCTCACACAGGTGTTATTACCAGTTACTCACTGATTACGTGTGTTTGTCTGAAAATTGGATATCCCAACATCCCATTCCAATTTATAAGGTATATAAATACATAATGATTGATATCAATTACATACACATCAACATTGAATTTTGACGATATACCTTAAATTATAATTTGCAAATAATAATAATCAACAATAATAATAAGGTATATACACATCAACATTGCAATTAATTGTTGGTGGTCTTTCCTAATTTGATGATTCACCGATTTCAGAGGCATCACATCGAGGCGAAGAACACGCCATCGGAGAGAGTTCGGGGAGCGTTTTTCCCATCCCTCTTTTGTGTCCATACAAAGTGGAACACCAAGATAGCTAACTTGGTCTATAACACCAATAACTATGGTTTATGCCACTTATATATATCCCAGATGCGAACCATGGTCCTGGAACATTGACCAAAAAAAAACTATGCGAAGCATTCTTGGGGTTTTGATGTAGGTCAATATTCAATCACCATGGAGCATCTGGGTTTTTCGTATTCATGTTTTTTTTACCCAAGAAACATCACATGTTGGAAGCCAAAATGAAGAGATCCCAGTCAGGTCCCCACGAAATCCGCCACAAAGTTGACTGATAACTAGACCATTTTTTATGGCTGGTTGGTGGTTTGGAACATAAATTTTATGACTTTCCATATATTGGGAATAATACTCCCAACTGACTTTCAGATTTTTCAGAGGGGTTGAAACCACCAACCAGATGGTATAAACAGGATATAACGATAGTTACTGGGCCTTGTAAACCAACTCGTAACATCTCATAACTATGGGGCACCTGATTATGTACAACTCATAGGTCAGACCTTACTCCCATCCACCGTTCGTAAAAATCCCAACCCAAAAACCAGGGTGACTCAACACGTGTTAACAACATAAACACACCCTGATCACTGAAATCTGAAGGGGAGATTATCCCGAAAAAAGAGTTGCTTTTCCAAAATTCCCCCGGTTGAGTTTTCTGGTGAAATTTCAGTTTTCAACATCTTCATCTTATCTTGTATTTGTTAAGATATGTCAAGCCAACCCCCCTCTTTGTTGTTTAAAACCACATTCGTTCGGTTCGAGTCATCGACAATCTAATTATGTGGGGGTTGCCTAAAATGATCAATGGATATAAATGGAGCTACCCCCAGTTCTCATCCAGCTATTAATGGGATTGGCCCCTAAAACAAAGCAGCTATTGGGTAGCCCCATTTTCAGCTCAACCACCAGGGATTTTCCCGTGAAGTCCATGGTTTGGTGGTTGTGGATCTCCAATTTCCCGCCGGAAAATCCATGGGGAGCGGTTTAGAGCTACCAAGAGTTTCCTAACTTGCTATAGTCATCCCAAGAATGTTATATAACAATATTGATTCATGATATAGTTCGTAGTTATTTACTAATGTCAACTACCACAATTCAATGTTATTGTTTATAATATTACTATACTATTAGTTCTAATAGTTCCTTGTTACTCATGTCAATGACCAAATAAATTAAACAAAACCACCATTAGTTCAAATAGTTCCTGGTTATCGTGTCACTTAGACTCGCCCTGTTTAAACAGCGAAGGTTCACCGGTGGCTCAGAAGCATCCACTGCCTCCGAGCTCGATGTGGACGAGATCTTTTTGTCCATGGGAAAGGTCGACTGGATGGGCAATGGGATGAAGAACACAGGTGATGTTTTGATGGGATTTCATGGTGTTTTAATGGGTTTTAATGGTGTTTCAATGGGATTTAATAATGGTTTTTTATGGGTGGTTTTTCATGCGATTCCTCTACTTCTATCTGTTTCTAGTGGCTTTTCTGTGTCTAGATTTTCTTTATGTGGGACAGCTGATTGGGAGGCTATGGTTTTTATATAACGGCTTTTCAATGTCTGGCATGTTCAATGTGGGCACAGGTCACGTTACCCATGAACTTATCAACTGAAAAAAAAATCATATCCAACTATACCAGGTAATATACTGAGTTTATGGCTATATACTGGTAATATGCTGGTAATATACTGGTAATATAGCCATAAACTCGGTATATTACCAGCTGCAACTTATAGCTTTTTGGGTACCTGAGGTCACCTAAAAAATCTTGGACATTGATCAAAACCATGGTGGCTACCCGGCTAACTGAAAACATACTGTGGATGGGCCAGCGAAATCCGAAACACCAGCTGAAAGGTGGTAAATATCCCCATTTATTGATAGGGTTTCAAGTTTCAACCATCCTTTTGGTGGTGCAGGATATCTCAACCATCCACAATAGCTATGGAAAATGACCCAATACCAGATGATTTATCTATTCAAAATGGGCATTGTTCACAGTTGTGTTCGATTACCAAGGGGGTAGCTTAAGTAGTGCCAATGGAAGCTACCTACTTAGTTTTGTTTCTATGTTTTTTGAGTATTTTCATAAACATCCATAAACCACCCGTTTATAGATGATTTATATTGATTTATAATCCTAAATTTAAATCCTATATGAAACACGGTCATTTTCCACAGCAAACTGTTAAGTTACCACAAAATACCCTCTGGTTAACTAACTATTGAAAATTGCCATTTATAGTTGATTTACCCATTAAACATGGTGATTTTCCATAGTTATGTTAGCCCGTTTACTGAAAAAAAAACATATCCAACTATACCAGGTAATATACTGAGTTTATGGCTATATACTGGTAATATGCTGGTAATATACTGGTAATATAGCCATAAACTCGGTATATTACCAGCTGCAACTTATAGCTTTTTGGGTACCTGAGGTCACCTAAAAAATCTTGGACATTGATCAAAACCATGGTGGCTACCCGGCTAACTGAAAACATACTGTGGATGGGCCAGCGAAATCCGAAACACCAGCTGAAAGGTGGTATATATCCCCATTTATTGATAGGGTTTCAAGTTTCAACCATCCTTTTGGTGGTGCAGGATATCTCAACCATCCACAATAGCTATGGAAAATGACCCAATACCAGATGATTTATCTATTCAAAATGGGCATTGTTCACAGTTGTGTTCGATTACCAAGGGGGTACCTTAAGTAGTGCCAATGGAAACCACCTACTTAGTTTTTTGAGTATTTTCATAAACATCCATAAACCACCCGTTTATAGATGATTTATATTGATTTATAATCCTAAATTTAAATCCTATATGAAACACGGTCATTTTCCACAGCAAACTGTTAAGTTACCACAACATACCCTCTGGTTAACTAACTATTGAAAATGGCCATTTATAGTTGATTTACCCATTAAACAAAGTGATTTTCCATAGTTATGTACACGTTTACCAGAGGGTATCCCATATTTTTTCGAAGTATTTCGAAGTTATATCCCAGATCACCAAATGAAAAACCGGTCACTTCACCTGGCCTCCAAATGGAATGGTTGGAATTTTTCGGGTCTGCGGTGTCGATGAGGTCTGTCGCATTGTGTCTGTGACACATCGCTACGACACCAAGCGCGAATCGCGCAGCGTTTCGAGCGATTCCTCGGAGACCGTGGAGTTCTGCCAGGCGATGTTTTTCCGGGGGCTGAAATGGATGGGACCAGCAACACTTAGATTTCTGAGATGGTATAATTACTGATGATTTAATGATATCATGGTAGTATAAGATTTTGTATAACTATCTAGATATTTGAATAATGGAAAATGGATGAGCATGGTCCATTTATAGATGATGATTTACCTCTTGGAAATGGTCATACTGGAGGGCAACCGTAAATAATCCTGTAGATATAGCCACGATAGACCATGAATGAGCCATTAAACATACCCCTGTTGATTTTTTTTAACAGGGAGTTATGAAGCTACCTGCTTTATTGGGGATTATTAGAACCCAGGATAGAGAAACCTATCAACCAACTAGTATAATGAGATGGGATAACCATATGTTTATTTGCTCAGAGAATTATACAATATTCTACAACAAGCCCTTACTAGCAAACAATAGATGGTTAATGAGCTACTACTAGATGGATACTAATAGTAAACCCGTTATGGTTTGTTGCTGTAATGTTAACCTCAATCCCGATTTTTTTTCCACTGATTAATCTTAAAGGCTTCCAGCATGTTCCATCCACCGTGGTAGATGACAACTTCCCTGGAGGATGGGGATCTCAGAGTGGAGAGTGGTGTTGGTACACCTGTTCCAAGGATCACGTGGTGTACACCTTCAGTGTGTCAGAAGCTGGGAGTTACGCTGAGAGACCTCAGGTATCCTCTAGGGGAGTCTCTTGGTGAGCGCGTTTTATTGGCATGTGTGTTGGGGGCTAGCCGCGCGGCTAGCAGATGTCGATGTGGCTTTGCTGAAAAAAAACGATCTCATAAGATAGAAAAGAAGATTCAACATGATTCAACCATCATCAAAGATGCCATTTTGATCAAACTTCAGGAATTGCATGGGTTATGCTGCTACTCTAATGGGGTCCGGTGGATTTCACAGCAGTGGCTTTTACCCACCGCATTGACAACGTGATCAACGTGCAGAATCCATCAGCCTGCCACGCAAAAACCGCATCCTAACCTCAGCCAGGACGCCAGTTTTAACACTTTTGACTTCGAAATGTGCTTCGCGCCACAACGCCGTGCACTGTTTGAACATCGCAACTTCCAAAAGTGGTGTGTTTTTAACACTTTTGACTTTGAAATGTGCTTCGCACGCACATCTCAACTTCGAAAAGTGCTCCGAGCATGAAGTGTTTTTATGTGTCGTTTTTGGCATTTTGACTTCGAAATGTGCTTCGTGCCACAACGGGGTGCAATTTTTTATCTCTCATCTGACCAGATGGCTCCGCACCCGCCGCTTTAGCGAGCCTACTTTTCGACCGTCCGGACAAACATTGGAAAAACGCAGTGTTTCGCGACTTTTCTACCTTTTCACGCATCTTCTTTCTTCTTGATTCTTCCCACCTCTGCTTTTCCATCTGTCCATATTGTCGGAAGTTTGACTCCTAAACGTCCCTCGATAGAGATTATATATGTATATATACATATATATAATTATATCGGAAAGTTCTTTCTGCAGTTGTCCTTTTAGCTGGTGACTGTTGCATTTTCATGCACGTTTTTGTTTGTATTTGGTTTGGGACCTGAACACCTATCGGGATTCAGTTTCAGAGAGAGAGAGAGAGAAAGAAAGAAGCGCCATAGAGGTATACTTGCATGCTGGACCTGATGATCTCAAGACATCTTTACTCAACAGATTGGTAAGATACCTTCAGCATCTTATGTTCATTATTTACTTGTTGACATTAAATTTCATCGCCACGCATATCATCCAAACTGGTCGAGCCGTGAACCGCTGATTTGGCCATCAACTTCTGGAATTTGTGGCGGTCCACATTGCCCCCCGTAGCCCACCCCCTGCGCCCAAGGGCATGGGGCAGGGGCGGGCAGCTCCTTCGCCTGCCTCCGCCCCCGGCTTATCTCTATGAAACTTACCTGTAAGGGAAATCCCTTACGAATTGATTTTTTTCAATGGAAGATTCATCTGTAGGAGGATTCAAAATTGCAATGTTTCATTTGCAGAAGGTATTTGTATCAAATTCAAACCCATCACTTACCTCTATGAGATTGATCTCTATCATTTTTTTCTCTACAATCTTGAAAAAAATCGAGCAGAACGTTGGATGTTTGTCCTGCTGTTTTTAGGTGCACATGAGCATACCGTACGCACTTATCCCAAGGCGTGCTGTTATTCAAACACCTTTGCCAACAGTACACTGCCATGTTGTTTGCGTCCTCCAATTTCAATCCCAACCTGCTTGCTGGTGTGACACGTTTAAGATCTTTCAGGCATCGTCCGGTATTCATTTGTTTGTCTAATCCCTGGTTTTCTTTGATAAAATGTTGTTACCAACCATGCACCATGATTTGTTTGGCAAGTGACTTTAACAAACTACAAGTTGGGCCTCTCCACTTATTAATTATGTGTGTTGGTGTTTAAGCCCATCAATTATTTAATATATTATGTATATCTACCATCAATAAATTTTAATCATGTAGTTATTGGAGTTATAGACCAACATAAACCAACTCAGGTATCTTTTGAGGTCACCATGTGATATTGGTTTTTCAGGTCCGATGATTAGATGGAATTGACCGAGGAAGTAACGATTCCGCTGGGCGGCTTGGGAAGCGACATGCAAGATCGCTGCCAGGTGCCAACAACTGGTTGGTGGTGACTGGAACCATGGATTTTTTATGACTTCCCATATATTCTGGGTAAATTATAACGACCTCACTGCGACCGAAGCCTGGAATCATGGTTTATTTAAGGGAAATCATCCCCAAATGGCCTTAATTCAGGTTAGTGAAATATTATAATTTAATATAATTTACCCAGATAGATTTTTTATGATTTCCCATATATTGGGAATAATCATCCCAACTGACGAAGTCATATTTTTCAAGATGGTTAAAACTACCAACCAGATCAGTTTACCCGTGTAGATTGGGATTTAACCAAGAATGAAATAAGGGGTTCGACTAGCAATTTATATGAAGGAACAAAAACATGGTATTTGTTGACTCGACCTATGAACGTCCTATGAAGCCTTACCCCACACTTTTTTGGTGGGATTTAGCCAGAAAATGGTGGAGCCCCAACACGATGTGAGATGCCCGGTGTGTTTTGAAGCTACTGTGTGGCGAAAAACAGGTGGTTTACTGCTAGATATTACCAGTGGAGTTTCCTAGGTCTTAAGTCAAGGCTTGTTTTTCCAAGGTTAGTCATGTTATTTGGAGATTCTATATCTTACCACCATTCACGCATCCCACCACATCATTCCCCAGTATGTCCGCATGAATTTATGGTTAATGTTGAACCGTTGAACCCTCATGTTTGCATATGTTTGCTGGTTTATTTGTTTGAATTGCGGCTGTGCCACGCAAAAAACAATTCAACTGGCTATCTCTACTGTAATTGTCTCATCATATCCTTTCCGACTTGGTTAAAGGAACTGTTTATACCGAGACCCTCTGAAAAGAATTGATGTTTTACTCACAATATTGGAATGTTTAAAATTATGTTTATCAATTTCAATGTTTTTTTTGAGGGTCTAGGTATAGGCAAACCCAAGTTTTTGCCTGGTAAGAACCTGAAGCTGCGGTTTCCTGTGATTTTTTTCCCAAGCGGCGGCCAGGGTGCAGGCGGATATCAGAAAGACTTGGTGTGCAATGGCCTGTGCCAGGAGACCGGGGAGACCCTCTGGTAAACTAAGATCCTGAAAATATTTACCTATTTAGTGGAAATCTTCCATCCCCTATCTGGGTCTATGTTAATTTATATACTGGAGTATATACATATATATAGTTAATATATATATATATACATATATATATATATATTCTTATATCAACCCGGGATTAATAAACCATGCTTTATTAATTATGAAGGTATCCTCCAGTGATAATCTGATACTCACATGGTACACCCTTCCCCCAATTAAACAGCCGTTCGGGGTTTATTAATCCAGGGTTGACATTAGATATGGAAAGCCATAATTCATAGCATTCATGGGGAATGTAGTGGGCTTTATATATAATAATGACTAGGAAATTAATGGGATGTGGTCCCCCCAAATGTGATGTCAGTTGGTCTAAAACCCTAGTAACTATTAACTATATAGATATATCCACCATAAACCCTGTTTATACTAGTTATAACCCAACTTGGCTAACCCTGGTGCCACCACTTTGGTAGGTTGATGCTTTGTGTGTTTGCTGATTGATGGGCAAACAAAGCCTGGATATTTTTTTGGCCCTCCCCAGTTTTTCTACTAAGTGAGGATGTGACCTACTGCATTTGCTTTCCAGTTGGCACCAGCATCTGGAAAAACCATTGGTGAACCAAGCCAGAACGTCGATCAGTCGGCGTCTGAGCGTCTGAAAAGCACGAATGCCCAGAGCTGCTCCGTTTCATTGGCTACGCTGCCTTGCCAGACGCATCGCTTCAAAAACATTGGAGCCGCAGATGTTCACCATACTCCGGGCCAATTCCAAAAATGGAGACCCATTGCAGCAAAACCCAAGAATCAACAATGAGGAATAGCATGTCTTTGGATTAAGGCTGTCTTTTTTTGTGTTTCGTCATTTTTTCAGCAAGGCCAATAATTTTTTTTACTCAAGGAACAAAATAGACATTAAATTAACATTTAGATGCTACATATATGTTTTCCAAACTTAACATAATCATTAAATGAACATTTAGATGCTACATGAACCATCATGACGTGAACATTAAATGAACATCTTTGGATGCTACATACTGACATGTCCATGGTTTTCCAAACATGGTCTTTTAAGAAACGCATGCTACCCGACATGGGGGTCTCCTTCGTTGGGTGGAAACACCAAAATGGATGGGTGAAACTGTTCGTTTGTAAGTAGAATAACTAGCTGGTTGGTGGTTTCAAACATTTTTTATTTTCCATAATATATGGGATCATCCTTCCCATTGACTTTCATATTTTTCAGGGAGGTAGGTATACCACCAACCAGTTATAGTCAGTGGATCTCTACAAAACAATTTTTTCAAGACGACCCCTGTTGAGTTTTGGGGTCCACTTTGTGATTCATGATGAATGAGTATTAATGATGCTTAGTAGTGTCCCATCGTTTTATATTAGCATTTTGGGGGAAGATGAAATCCCTTACCAGGTTGTCTGGTTGGGATTGGCTGAAATCACAAACAAGTGACGATTTTGTTCCAACCGTTTCTTCAAGTATTCTGGCTATTTTTTTTGTGAACCGTCCACACTGCATTCTGTTCTAGAAATGCCCCCGTGTTGTTTCATCTTCAATTTTGCTTAAACTTTTTAAACATATTCATGTTGTACTTGGGTGCCTATCCTTGGTCCAAGTTTGACATGCCCGATTGTGTTTGTAAATATACTTATTGTGGTTGCTAAACAGTTACACATTCAGTGCTGCTGCTTAAATCCGTGTTTTGATGGGTGGAATCCTCGTTTTTAACGGCAAAATATCTCAATGCACCATGTGTGTCGCGTTTCATTTTCATGTTAGTAGATTAATCCCCATTTTCCTATAGCTTCCCCACATTCTTGTGCGTCCTAATGCATTGTCTATATTTGATGCTGTTGCTAGATGTGTCTCAGTTCACTATCTATATGTTCCATGTTTGATTTTGTTTGTTACCATAATTTAACATATAAGTTCACTATTCATATTCATATAGTATCTTAAAATCCTCATGTTTTGCCAATAACATGTCCACCAAACACACTGAAAGCCCGCTGCCGTGCCCTAGGAGGGTCAAGAGATCGAGTGCTGGCGACCCATGACATCCTGCACGGGCAGCTGTGAAACAACACATGCCTGGGCCAAGTGTAGCAATACGGAGTGTTATAAGATGCTTGGCATTGGGGGTGGATCCTGGTGGATCCTGGTATATGTGTGTTTCATACTAAACTTACTAAACAGACATAAATCATAAGACATGGTGGACATGTGAAATGTTCCCCGGTTTGGTAGAAAATGGTTGAGATAGTTTTCTGGGGTATTGAGTGAATGTGTAGAACAAACTAACCATGAACAACCAATTTATGGAGATATAAACATCAGAAATGTGAAGTGTTATAAGATGTTTGGCATTGATTGGATTCACCTGGTGACGTTTGATGAAAAATCAAGAGAATAGAGAATAGTGTGTGCATAGTGTTATGTATGTATATATATATGATATATATATATATGTATATATATATGTATATATATGATATGTATATATATATATGGATACAAAAGCAAAATTTACCATGTTAGTGTCACAAGATGTTTTGCGGCCATGGGACTGGTTGGGTATGAAAGAGACTTGGATCACAACCAGAATCAGCCGTGTCGGTGTTACAATCTGTTTGGCAGCCATATGGATTGGTATTAAACTAACCTATTGTATTCACTTGTGAGAACATATTTGATATAGGTATGATGGGATTCGGTAAATATGTATTGAACTAATGATGAACAACCAAGTACGGAGATAGACTCATCAAACAGGTGAAGTGTTGCAAGATGTTTGGCTTTCATGGGGTTTACCCGGTGCTGTTTGGTCACAAGATGTTGTGCAGCCATAGTGATGGGTATGAAAGAAACCCTTTCTGGGGATCCCTGCAACCCATGATGATGGGCACTGAACCGACTGCAAGCATGCAATGATGGAGGAAAATCATCAAACATGTCAAGTGGTTAACAAGTAATGGGTATTCAACAAACCAAGTATGGGAATTCAACCACTATATAAACGAGTGCAGTGGGTGTAGCTGTTTTAGAACTTAGATCAGTGGCAAATTAGTTCACAACGATGGATCATTTCGAGTGTTGTAATATGCTTTGATGGTATTCGATGTCAGGAAACGGTAGGTAGAGGGGCGTTTCGCAACAATCACGGGAACTTAACTTGCTCTCTGGTAAACTAAGATAGCTATGGAAAAACAATTAGATTAATTACCTATTGTTTTACCCTCTGGTAAACTATATAACATAGCTATTGAAAATGGCAATTCATAGTTGATGTACCCATTAGAAATGGTGATTTTCCAGTTCGCAAAGTCAGTCATTACCAGAGGGTCACCAATGTCAGTCAACATGTGGCACCACACACTTGGCATTCAATCTGAGCGGTAAGTCCTGGCAGATCTACAGGAAGGATTCGCCCAGGTGTTCATTCGTTTCATGGTAAAATCCCATGGTTTCCGGCTAAGATTTTCCCAACAAAACCAATATTAAACGGTTAAAAAAACATGGGATTTAATGGGATTTTATGGTGGTTTGATAGGATCTAATGGGATTTTTAATGGCATTATGGCATACCAACCAATCCAATGTTTATTGATCTATAAGATTATTATAACCCTTACCCTCTGGTAACCTAAAAGTTTGCGATGGAAAATCACCATGTCTAATTGGTAAATCAACTATAAATGGCAATGTTCAATAGCGATGTTAAATTGCCAGAGTGTATGTATGCTAGTGAAATATACCAACCGGAACCTATTGAACTTGGGGCAATTTGTCCTGCATGAAATTTGTTCCACCTTTTGCACTTAAACAGTTACCATGCGGATACCCTCTAAGTGTTTGACTTGACTTTTTTGATATTCTCAGTCACCTCGGGGTTGATGGTTACCTCCTGGTAGTGACTCACAGTTTGCGAACTGGAATCTGTGTTCTAGTTCGATGATTTACTGTATTACTTTACTGGTGTCTTTTCCGCTGTAGCTATATGACATGTTAAACTGCCAGAGGCTACCTCCATTTTCCCTGGTGGTATCCCATTGTATCACCATTATACAAACTATGCCCCCAAATTTTTGCTGGTTAATTCAACATTTTTGCTGGTATCTTCCAATCTGAGTCGATCCTCATAAAGGGGTTTTCTTCAAATGGGGAATCCTCAAGTTGCCATAGGTAACTCGATACTAAGTCATGGTCTATCTTAAATGACTTGGATGAGAACTGGGGGTACCCCCATGACTTAGGAAACTTTCAATTTATACCATCAACTATGGTTAATGGTTACCCTCTGGTAAATTTATGGATAGTCTATGGTTAAATTTTATGGATAGTCTATGGTTAATGATTAATAGTTATCCTATGTTTTCCCACTATTGATAAGGAAACCTCCATCAACACCGCAGCACCCCTAGGATCATCGTTTCCCCTCAACGACCCAGGATCATCGATCCCAAGACAGAGCAGCTCAATGCTCAGGAGGACTATCCATCAACAACGAGGGGAATTCACCAACAAAACTTGGGATTGTATCAGTAAAAAAAGCTTACTTTACGAAGAAATATGTGGTTTTATGTGGTTTTATGTGGTTTTACAATGTTTTACAATGATATTTTTCGGATTTCATCAACAAAAAGTAAACCACGGAAACTTTGTGGTGCCAAGACCTGCCAAGGTGTCCTTTTTGGGGCGTCCTTGGAAAATTTGGTCCCTTGTTGAAACCAGCAGTTTTTTATGTGTGCCTTAAGGTTGCCCTGGGGTAAGCTAACTAACATAGATGTGGAAAAGCCATGAAAAACCATGGTTTCCTGGAAAATGATCATAGATTCGTGGCTTTTCCACATAAACTCAGTTTACAGGCTACAAAAAGAAACAAACAGATTCAAACGGATAGATATGTGATTATCATGAACCTTGGATATACATTGTATATATATATATATAAATACAATATAATACAATATATATATATGATGTGTGACATTGTGCAGGCCAATATGGCGTAGAGCTATGGGTCAACCTGAAGCAGCCCATTGGCTTCGACAAGCAGAAGCAGCCAAGGTACCTCAAGGCTCAGCACTTTCAAGTCTGCCACAAAGACCCACAAAGGCTGGTTGTGAGATGTCAAGCAGATCTCTTGACCTGCTGGATCTTTGTCGCCCATGCACCACACAGTGGACATGCACGAACGGTCCGTCAGCAATGGTGGGAGCAGACTGACTCCGTCATTGACACTTTTGGCGATGGTCTTCCGTGGATCTGGCTGATCGATGCGAATGCTGAAGCAGGAGAAGCAGATGATATCACTGTTTTTGCCAGAGATCTCGCGTCAAGTGCAAACACTGACCTATTCAAGGCATGCCTGCTTCGCAATGGACTGTGCCTGCCATCGACTATGACTTGTCACGAGGGTCCACGATCCACCTGGACCAGCCCGGACGGAACTACGAACCACTGCATTGACTACGTCGCCATTCCTTCGGCATGGAGCACGTCTTGTACATATTCCAGCGTCATAGATACCTTGGATTTGTGCACGACCAATGATGATCATAAAGCAGTGGGAGTTCAATTAGCATGGACAACTGAAGAGTTGGTCCGGCCAGCGACGAAGCGATGTCCACGGCCAAACTGGCATTGCAAACAGGCTCGATGCAGTGTGCTGGAGAAGATCGACCTCATCACCACATGCCCATGGCAAACTGATGTGGAGACGCAAGCATGCCATCTCTCCGCTGGTCTACATGCAGCAATGAAGCATGGCCCGCAAGCCCAGCGCATTGCCAAGAAGCCCTACATCACGGAACAACTTTGGCAGTACAGAACACACAAGCTGCGGCTGAAGAAGTGTCTCAAGGAGGTGCAAAAGAACATGCGACAACAAGCTTTGAGAGAAGTCTTCAAGGCATGGCAACTTCAGAAAGCTGATGCCGTAAGCGAAGACCAAGCATCCTTGATCGTCTCCCTCCACTGCTCCAAACTCAAGTTGCTGGCGGCCTATCGAAACTGCTCCAAGAGACTTCAAAAAGGCCTGCGAAATGCCAAACATGAACATTTGCGAGAGAGCCTTGAAGCCTTGGACACTTCGACACCGGCCTCTAGCATTCTCCGATGCCTTCGCAGCTACATTGGGCCTACCAATCCCAAAATGTGCAAAAAGAAGACTGTGCCGCTTGTTCACAATGAGGATGGGCAGCCTTGTAAGACGCCACATGAAGCTCTCAACACCTGGGTTGACTTCTTCAAGGATATGGAAGGAGGCGAACGAATCCCCCGTGAGGTCCTGAGACACAGGTGGAGAAACAATCTTTCTGAACAGCAACAAGCAGAAGTGCGGATCAGCTGTACCGAGCTACCCACTCTCACAGATCTTGAGATTGCACTACGCTCCACCTCCTGTGGCAAGGCCAGTGGAGCTGATGACATTCCTGGGGAATTGCTTCATCATTTCCCAGCGGCAATCGCGATCCAGATCTACCCTGCGTTATGGAAGCTGCTTCTACATGGCCAAGAAGACCTATCCTACAAGGGAGGAGTACTAGTGCAAACCTACAAAGGACGAGGAACCAAGCACCATTGTGCGTCCTTTCGCTCCTTATTGATCTCGAGTCAGATCGGTAAGGCAATACATCGAACAATCCGCACCAGTCAGGCGGACATCTTTGAGAAGTTCCTTCAAAAACAACAGGTGGGAGGCAAGCGACGCATGCCGGTCACCTATGGCTTGCATCAGGTCAGAGCACATCTTCGTCAAGCTCGTCGTCGTGGTCTTTGTGCAGCCATCGTCTTTGTTGACCTGACTGAAGCGTTTTATCGCATCTTCAGACCGCTCTGCATGAACAATGTCATCAGTGACGAGGCGCTCGCGGCTTTCCTCCACAAGCTCAAGATGCCCGAGTCAGCACTTCATGAACTATGGCAATTGTTGGATGGCCAGAATGCGCTACAAGCTGCTGAATTACCAGCACACCTCCAACGCAGCATCGCAGCCATCCACTGCAACACGCATTTTTGGATGAAGGAACAGGATGATGTGGTGGAGACACAATTTGGTTCCAGACCAGGGGACCCATTTGCTGATGTGTGCTTCAGCTATGTATGGGCGCGTGTGCTCCTTCGCCTTCAGGACTATATGGAGCAGAATGGGCTGGCTGATTATTACCCCGTTCTGCCGCAGCTCCAGCTGTTTGGGACCGAGCCAGC